ATGGAACAATACACCTAGTCAGTATGTTCCACTTGAATTGACTGTCACCAGTCTTGATTGACGTGGAATAATGTTATGTTAATTTTTGTAACAGAAATACGTTTAAAATGTCTACATGTATTATCTGTAGTGTTTTACAAAGTTGTAATTCAATCTTCTTTAGTTGTAAATTTAAATCAATCTTTCTTTTGAAAATATTTCTAAGGTATTTATTTGTAGAAGTACATAAATTACTGGCAGATTTCAGGACTAGATAAAGAAAGTTACTGACTGGGGTTCTCAGTTACTTTTTTATTGTTTTCTCTGGTTTTTGTTACCTTAATTTTCTCCTTATTTATTGTTATTATTATTATTGTTTCCTTTAGTTCCTAGAGGAACATAGGGCTTGAGCCATACGTCTCCGTTGCGTTCGATTCTCCACCAACGTTTTCACCTGGCTACACGTCGACCCACATGCTTTCAACTCCTCTTCACATGATCTCCTTCATGTCACCCTCGCACTGACGACCAACTGACTCTCCACTTCCCGTTCAGGTTCCACTCGAGCGATGGACTGGCCTGTGATGTTACTTGATGGCTTTCTCAGAGTATGACCAATCCACCTCCATTTCTCTCTGCATATTTGTTGCACAATCGGTTCCTGGTTGTTTCGTTCATTGCCAGAGGTCATTGTTGCTGATCCTTTCTGGCAGGCCATCTGATCTTTAGCGGTGTTGAGCGAAGACAGATTTTGATGAAAGTCTGTAATTTGTATGAAGTGCTTTTCATGACGCGTCAAGTCTCTGATCCGTATAGTAGCATTGACTTTCACCGGCCTGTGTCATTATACTTTCAAATTTCTATAAAAAGAAGAAGTTTATGTTTTATAATTGTGTGTGCTTTGAATTTTTTGCAGCAATTATATTGATTTTATGGAGTGGGATTTCTAGCTCCACGCCTAGCCTTCCCTTCTGTTGCTGACCTAAGGCAGTCTAATAAACTAAACGAAGTGCTTGAAATAATGCTCACTTGTAAATGAACACTACGGCAATTTAAAGTTTAATAACTTATGGAGTGCTAAGTAAAATATAGCGAGTCGATTTTGAAGGGTTGCACTGTAGTGTCTGGCATGTTGTGTCATTTAACAGTCTCTTCAACATCTCTCCAATCCACCTCCATTATTTCAAGGACAATAGATTCATGATTGGTCCGTTCCCAGAGGTACTTGGTGCTTACTATTTGCAGATGGATATCTGACCTTCCCTATGGAGTGAAGGCAGGTGTGGACAAAAGTCTTCATCAGCCTATAAGAATAGAACTTGTACTCTTTGGCAGAGAACATTCGATGATGCCTCACAACTTTATACAGTAAAATTTACTGATGAAGTTTTGAGCACAACTGATTGCTCAGAATCCTTCATTAGCCTGTTGTAAGTGCTTTCGATGATGCTAGCACCAAATCTCTGAACTGTTAAACCTCAGATCTTGTTCCTTTCACTGAATGCTGTCCATCTCTATTCTGTTTTCAAGGTAATAAACGCCTGTCCTCCTTTCCGTAATGAAACTGTCTGCATTTAACATCCTGATTCATGATGTCTGTACTTGTAACAATGTTGTTTAGATAATATAATATAAATATAACAAAAAATAATACATATTCTATCACTAGACGTCGCTAATCAACTACACAAAATTGACATCCTTTCAAAACATACGTAGAATGTCTTAACTATCTGACTACTAAATCAATTACTTATACATGGCCTATTTAAATTGCCCTTAACGCCAGTTAAGCCTAGATATGCTGAGATCCCAAAATTTCATTGAAAAAAATTGTCTATAAAAAGGAGCTAGCTAACGCCAAATTGACATTCATGTTTTGGGTAATAAACATCCATTAAACTATATAATTTATGTCAATTACACTATGAAAAACTTACATCTTTTTTAGAAAACTACAAACCACAGGGACAAAAAAATAAAGATAATAACAGAAAATTCAGACAAGTAACTAAATTGTTAGGTATATGACATAAAATCAACCTAGTTAACAGACATCGGACAGCCAAGAGAGAGAATTCCTTTGCTACCATCACATAACTGATAGATTCAAGTTAGAAGTATAAATCAAGAAAGGAGGAATATAGGTTAGGAAACTAATTAAAATCTCTTACCACCTTACGAAGATTTAATAAACACTATTTTATTATATCATGTTTCTTATGTCTGCATACACACATAAACACATTCACACTAGGTGGAGGGGGTGCTAGTCTTTTTTTACTAGTCGGAGATAAAATCAAATATATGGATATTAGATAGCAACAATTATCCCCATACTAATAAAACTGTAATTAAAGTACAACTGTTATGTATAAAATTATGTCAAGAAAACCAAAGGTTAAAGAGACGTAAATATACATTTTCAAAAGATGGTTTGTTTATCGAGTATGACTGAGAATTAATATCAACGGTTTGGAATCCACGACCTTCCGGTTAAAAGGCAAGCTCATGAACCATTCAGCCACTAGGACCTGACTCCTCAATGGCAAGCGCATGAATTCTAACTTCTACCAATTCGTGATGACTTTAGCATGAGTACCAATCACTGTCATGGGCGGATATTTGTGCTTACTGCCGACTAGACGAACCTAACTATTCACAACTTCTCACTAGAACTCCAGGAAACTCCATCCCGTAGCTAGTGACTAGCGAATATCAGATTAATTTTCAAGAGTTGACTTGTAAGGATTTGATTTGCTTATAGATGAGTCCCAAACTGGGATGAAACAGCTGTCCAGTACTCTCTGATGGTTTTCAGTGGTTCTCTAACTGACATAAATTCGTGATCAAACTCGACAGAGCCAAATACACAATCCCGGTTTATGGAAAGAACATATTCTTTAGTGCAATCAGAGATGTTAACTTTAATTGTGCAGATAATTTTACATATATCTGAGGCAACAGTTACATTGGAAGAACAGCAGTAAGGGCATATCTTAGATTCTCTGAACATGTATCAAAAACACTTATGCTATGGACAGTGCTAAAAACAGACCTCTTTTTGACACAGTCTATGAGTTGGCCAGCGTCAAATCCTTCAAGTTTATTAACAGGGAGTTTAAGTCAACTCTCCTCAAATTTGCTGAAGCAATCGCTGTCGAATGTTTACGACCTGATTTATATGTTCATAAAGTTTCATTTGTCAATATTTCCTTGCCCTGCTAACTCAACGTCTAATCACTTCTTCTCATTTGATTACATGATCTTATGCTTTAAGCCTCCCCCATTTTTGCCTCAACATAATTTAGTTTATTCTCCTTTTTTGTCTTCACGGCTTGACTGAAACTCACCACAATGTTACGCAACTGATTAGCTGCTTACCACTACCTTCTTACCTCTTGTCTTGAATGTGTAACTCGATTTTCAATGTGTCCGATTATGAATTTTATGTGTCTGTGTCTTGTTTATACTTTGACCTATTTGCATAAGTTACAATAAGTGTAACTTTTGAGAACTGTATATTAATTGTGTGTCTTTATTAACCAGAAATCCTATAATCCTTGAAGCAAGTAGGTTAAAAAGACTTTTACCAAACAAATGTGAAATGTGCTACTAATAAGATTTATCAGTAGTATATTTAAACACGTTCATTGACATCAAAACATCAAATAACAGGCAGATAGATTTGATGTCAGAGAAAGCAAATCATGCAGCGTTGTAGAGATACTCAGGAAACGTGAAAGGAACACAAAGAAAAACACACAATATGAAGGAAGGACAGAAGTAGTAGGCACAACACATGGATGATCTGTGCAAATGGTGCGTTGAAGATAAGGTGTACATAATTTGGTTATGTAGAGATACCAAATTCCTTTACTATGTCTCTCGTCTTCTATCGCTACATCTGGTGTTACTGCTTCCAGACAATAAAGATTCCATGGCTGGCTGCTTTTGAGGAAGGGGCCATAAGAAGCTTCTTGCGGGACTCTGACGATGTCGCTGAGTTGGTAGTTGAAAACATTTATTTACCGATACGAATTAAAAACAAGCAATAAAGATTATTAAAGCAGGATGACCTAATGAATTCATCAAATTTCGGTAGAACTACTCTTCAGCTGAATACTCTACATACACGGATATATATGCACTTTTGAAATTACATTGGGAGACATAAGACTGATAAGTAAACAAACTACATTGAATTAGTCATGCAGAAAGACAGGTGCGAATGTTTTCCCAGGTCATGTTCAAAAAGATAAGGGAAGAGAGAATATGAGAGATCAAAATTAAGATAAATTGCATTACGCTTCAATTACGTCACTTAGATAAACAATCAGTCATCACAGAATATAACAAGAATTGCAAACAGAGTAATATCAATAGTAATAGTTATGATAATAGTTTTGAAGTAAGTTAAGATAATGCTACTGATAAAGGATAGTTTAAAATGAATCAAGAATAATAATAATAAGAGGTAGAATAATAAGTAAAACGTATCATCATGCTAGATTCAGAGTCACGACCATCTCCTTTTGTACACAGAAACCTGCAATTGCAGGCATCTTCTTGTTTCTTTGTCTGTTGACAATAGTGAATGACTTGAGAGCATCGATATCATGACCGTAGTCAACAAGATGTTTTGTTATTGAGGTTTTTGGCACTTTGCACTCAGCTGTTTTGGTAGTTTTCAATTATCCGATGAGCAAAGGCAGCCGTGTTGAGGATGCCACCGAGAGGTAGAAAAAAGGCGGCGTAGAACAGTGTGGAGCGGTCAGCTGAGAAGGAGGTATTATAAAAATGTCTCTGTATACAAATATACCCAAATTACTTTTGAGTTGTACTCTGTTTAAGAGAAACGATTGAAATAAACGATGATGGTCTCATCTGCACAAAAGTCTCTTTTTTTTTACTTTATTTAAATTCATAAAGTAGAATGAACATACGCTGAATGATGTTAATTTATAAATTACTCACTTTTTGATTCACTTGTTCTTGTTTCTTCTCTGTGTGCATTTCAGTGGAATTCTCTGGCTATCAGTAATATACTAATATGCATTTTAGCCTTTGGAATGATTGCTGTTTATAGTTGGATGCTTATTGAAGGTGTTCATCTATTGAATATATTATTTTTAACATTTATTGTAAGAAGATTCCGATTCTCATGTTATAGTACAATTGGTTGGGGTGAGTAATAGTAGTAGTACAGTCATGTGTTTATTTGTTCTATTTTTTAATGATTTGTCTTGTTGTTTTTGAATTGAAGATGAATTCAATTTTGAACTTCTTCTTGTAGATTGATTACGTCGAAGTGTTTTTGGCTTGTCTTGACATTTTGGCTTGTAGTGCGAACGCTGTGATGATGTCTGACGATCAACTTGAAGCAGTCTGCGGAATGATGACTGGAAGTGCATTTCTTCCTATTTGAAGTCAGTCACCTCCGTGTACCTGTAATATTCAGGAGGTGATGGTGTCCCCACTGAGACTAGAACCCAGTACCTGTCGATGTGAACGTCTAAGTGTCACAAACTGCACTACTTTGGCGACAAGAACCACTTTTTGTGCAATGGTTGTCAGTAGTCTGGTTCATTCAGACATTCTATAAAAGACAAAATAATTGAGCAAAGAATATCCTTTTCGATAAATTCCTCTTCAGGCTCTACATTTATATATATGTTTACATACATCGAATATTCCAGATTAGAAGTCAGTAATAATATTAGTGATTTTAAATAATATCTACCAATTTAAATGCTCCTGTGGAGACAGTCACATAGGCTGTACAATTAGGCATGTTTCTGTTCGAATTACCGAACATCACTTTGCAAAGGGGTTAAGTAAAGGACAAAAAAGATGCATTCGCAGAGCTATTATATCTCATCTTGTGGATACAGAACACAAGATTGATGTTAATCATGCATTCAGGGTCACTTACCGCATACCAACAAATCTCAATTTCGCCTTAAGAGTTCAACTACCAAATATTGCTGAGGCTGGCTGTTGGGATCCATATTAACAAGCCTAATTTGTGCACCCAAAAGAAGCTAGTTCAGACATTGTCCTTACCTTAGTCATCTAGGTTCTAATGATCCTCAATTTGTTGTGGAAATTTCCTTAATTTTATTTGATATTCTATATGCTATTATATCTTTATTATAATGGTAATTTAAGTATATGTAATGAACTGTAATTCCATTGTGATCTTACTTAACAAATTGATACTATTTTAAAGAACACTAATATTGTTATTGACTACTATTCTACAATATTCTCTGTAAATAATCATATATATAATTGTAGAGCCAGAAGAGGAGGAATTTATCGAAAAGGATATTCTTTGCTCAATTATTTTGTCTTTTATGGTAGTCTAGTTAACAACGTCTTGGAGTTCGAAACGATTAGATGAAGATGAAGTAAAGAACATCCTGGACACATTAAACGATGTTCATCCTACTATAAATTTTACCATCGAGAAAGAAAGAGACCCTAGTATATCATTCTTAGACGTCCTTATGATTAGAAAAAAGAATTTGGCACAATAAGAAGAAGTGTATATAGAAAACCTGCATCATCTGGTCGGTATACTGACTTTTTCAGCTTCGTGCCCTTGAAATACAAACGCAATCTGATAAAGCGCTTGGTTCACAGACCAAGGGCAATCTGCTCAGATGAATGTCTTGATGAGAAACTTAATAATATTAAACGGTTGCTGAGTGGCAAGGGTAATCCTGAAAAGTTTATTGATAAGAATATGAATCTAAAATCAAAGCAGCCCAAAGTACCAACAGTTCCGAAAAAAGTCAGTTCCTTGGAGATAACATCAGCGAGATACTAACACAACGCCTTAGGAAGGCGATGAAACGAAAGGCATCCCCTGCTGTTGAATTACGCTGTATCTTCAAAACCACCCCTATTTTGCTTTCGGGAGTTAAGGATAAACTGCTTAATTTCGCCTCTTCTATGTGCATCTACCAATTTAACTGCTCCTATGGAGCCAGTTACATAGGCTGTACAATTAAGCGTGTTTCTCGTCAGATTTCCGAACATCATCCTGCAAAGTGGTTAAGTAAGGACAAACAAAAACCAATCGCAGCACTATTCTATCTCATCTTGTGGATACAGAACACAAGATTGATTTAAGCAAGGCAACTTTCAAAGTCATTTACCGCATACCTTATTCGTCTATTACATACTCCTGAGGCTGTTGGGATACACATTAAGAAACCTAACTTATGTATCCAAAAAAAGCAGTTAGTTCAGACACTCTCCTTACCTTGGTCATCAATGTTTTAATGATCCACAATTCGTTGTAGAAATTTCCTTAATTTTATTTTATATTCTATTTGCTATTACATATCTATGCTTATTATAACTTAGGCGTCTTTCTTGAACTGTAATTCCATTGCGATCTTACTTAACAACTCGATAGTATTTACAAACACCAGTACTGAAAATGACGACTATTCTAGAATTTTCTGTGCATATAAATATATATAATATTGTAGAGCCACAAGGTGAAGTTCGCGAAAAGGATATTCTTTGCTCAGTTTCTTTTCCTTCTAAATGTCTGAATGAATATTGTCGCTTGATTGGTACTCAGCCGTTGTCTCAGTAGAAACAACACTATTCACTGGGTATTGCAGGTAAACGGAGTTGACTAACCCCAAATAGGAAGAGATCACTCACTGGGGAACGCAGGTATTTTTAGCTTACGTGTCCTAAATGGAATGAAATGCGCATCGTGGTGAATTACACTGCTATTCACCATCCACCAAACTGTCTGATTATTATTCGCTTATCAGTATTACTCAGGAAAGTGTCAATCACCTATGCTGTCGAATAGTCTGTAGGAATATATCAAAGTGAAATCTCTGAGACGACTGGTAGATGCTACGGATGAGTGGACATAATTCGGGACATACTCTAATTGGTAGCGAATTTCAGTTTTATGCTTTTATGCGGCAAAAATATATAGTTCAGTGGAAAGTAGGTTTCGAAGTCTCAGTCGCGCTTGTGTTATTTCCTTTTATGAGGTGGAATAGCCAACATCACGCCCCATCTTCCCTCCTTTCCCAGGTTTACCACTGGCTAAGAGAATTCATGGGTGGTGTTTCGTCCGGGAATCGAATCTCAGAGCCTTTGACGTAGCTGACGAGCATTCTACCCCCAAACCTCCAGGAACATACCTAACTGTGTAATATAAACTCTTGACAACAGAACGATTCGAGTCCATTCTGCTTAGGCTGAGTTAGAACTGCATGCCTAAAAGGGCATTATAATCTTCATTTTAAATGGAAAATAAATAACATTATGAGTACGTTTACAAAGTCCCACTACTAGCATTTATACTTCAAGAGTTTGTTTTTAGGGAATTCGATTTGTCTCAAGTTTGATGACGGGCTGGCATCAGTTGAAGAACCATTCAAAAACCTCGAAGTACTTGACAGCTGTTTCGTCCTAGTTTGGGATTCTTCAACGGTGCAAATCAATTAGGGTCGATGTTCTCGAATGACTGGCTACAGGACGAAGTTCACTGCAGTTCCAGCGTCGTGACGTCGTGACCAGCTCACCTGCTAGTCGGGAGGCCGTGGATTCGAACCTTGGTAGGTGCGTACTGTTGGGGAGAAGTTCCAGTCTAAGGGAAGACATCTGTCCACTACTCCCTGAATAGTTTCCTATGGTTCCCTAACTAATGTCAGCTAGCGATCAAACATGAATTTATTTTTCAGCATTTTATATCCAGTGCTTTTTTTTCATCTGCTCACAAGTGGAAAAAAAGCACTTCACTTTTCAGACTGGCCATATGAATGTCTAGATTACTGTGCCAACATAGTCATGCGAGGAAAAATGTTTGTCGGCATTTTATAGGAAAAGAGACCAAATGCATTAGTTGATTTTTACCCAAATAAGTGACAACAGTGAATAAAGTGAAAACGCGAAATCGTCATTTTTCATTTCTGACTAGTCAGGAAAAAAACCAATTTATGACTGTAAAGGCGACATAAAAAATTGACAAACTTTTACTTTCGGGATTTCATTATGAGATGACATCGGTTAGAGAACCATTATGTAAACTGATAGTACTGGACAGCGATTTCTATCGTTCTAGTTTGAGAGTCTTCATCAGTAAGCACCCACTCACCGGGGTTCGAAATCAGAACCTTCCGGTTACAAGGCAAGCTTACAGACCATTAAGCCATTGGAACCCCATCCTATGGCCCATGAATTCCAAGTTTTGCCAATCCACGATATAGCGCCACCACTAGCAAATGTCATCGGCAAGTAAGTGTCCGCACATCAGACCTGCTAAACCTCATTGGTCAGGACTCTTAGTGAGGACAAATATTTGCCATTGACATTGGCTATTTGTCGGTCTATATCGTGAATTTATATAATCTGCGATTCGTGTAATGGCCATTGGATTGGGTCGAAGTGGCTTAGTGGTCTGGGAGATCGCTACGCTTGTAAGCAGAAGTTCTATGGTTCAAACACCGATGGGTGGGTGTGTGCTGATGAAGAGTCCCTGACTAGGACGAAAGAGCTGTCCAGTAATCTTAGGTTTTCCAATGGTTCTCTAACTGATGTCACCTTATCATGATCCTGAAACCAATCAAATTCCTTCAAACTGACACTTAAAAAATTAGAGTTGGAAAAATAATTGCATATTGATTTTTTAAGTTTTTGTATGTATTATGTTGATTGATTTATATTAGAGCGAAACGCTAGGTCTCTGTTGGGACATGTAAGTTCCTAGTATGGAAGCTTGGACAAGAGGCCTTAAGGTTAATTTGGTGTTATTCAGTTGGTACAGCAAGAAGCGAAATCGCTAAATAGGTGTGATTTTCGAGGTCGATTCCTGGACTTTTCTAAACCTACCGTAGTTTACCAGCCAATAGTAATTGCTGGATATGCAGGAAGGTTGGTGCGCAAGTTAGTAACTTTATCCCATAAAAGTAATATCTCCCCCAACTGAGAACTGTTGGCCTTAAATCCTATGTTCCTGTCAGGACTCAAGCGATGGCCATAATCAATGGAATGCGGTATGTCAGTTTCCTCCAAACTTCAAATCTGTCAGGTAAATGTATTTGTGTGCCCATCAAGTTACAATGATCTCCTAGACATTCGAAACCACCGTTAAACGCCTAGGTCTAGCCTTCTAGGTACTGGCCCTAACAGTCACATGTTGTGCAGCGGACGGAACATATAACCTGGATACCACTACTAAACATCATCAATCAGACAAGATAATGTTGTGTTGCCCATGGCAAGGCTGACAACTGTTCCATGACAATTGCTTAAACAATAATAGCTCTATTATTAGACAGCGTTCATAAAATTTACGAAATTTTCTCTTCGTCTACCAAATGCTTTCTGACATGAAGCATAAATAAATCCATTTTCATATTTCTGCTTTGTTTCCTTCGAGAAATGCACTAAAGGTATGATTGAAAGCCAGTTATAAAAAGTTCAGAAGTACATTTTCAGACCCAAAGACTAACGCAGGAACAGTTATCTCATGTATTAGCATACACTGCCACTGAAGATTTTGCTTTTTCCTTAAGTTTAGTAGAAACCTGTGAATCAACAGGTTGTGTAAATATTTGAAATACTCGCGAGAGTAGAAAATACCATAAGAGGTCAAATTTTAACAGATTTAAACAAAGTGAACAAGAGAAGTTATATGCAACATAATGATAGAGGTCTTTAGTAGCCCGAGTTTTAAGTAGGCCGCCGATAAGGCAGCCTTAATAATAAAAAATATCAAAACGCGAAGTGTTCCATTGCAATAGGCAAAATTTCAAAAACAGAGTTATAGTAATGGGTTTGAAACGATTCGAATAACTCTTGACAAATCTATTAGTCAATTTTTACATTACTAAACGTTTCGCTCAACTCATTACCACACCAAACTATAATATTAAAAGATATATAGTTACTGAGAAGAAGTTTGGTCCATTGAATATAAATGTAGTAATCGAATTCACAGGTCCACCTGTTGTATATCATGATGATTCTTCCAAACCATGGGTTTGTCACTCTGATCCTCGGTTCTTCTTTGGAACGGGATGTAAATCTCCTGTAGGTCTCCAAAATGGTGCAAATATTTATGATAGCAGCAGTTAGGCAGACACAGGATAAAAGAATGCGGTGTGTAAGCAAATACACGTAAATTTCCTTTAACCTGGATAAAAACTATATTTCCAGGAACTGTACAGATTAGACAAACACGATGTTTTGTTAGGAAGGAATGTCTTTGCCAACTCGTAACACAAAACAAAACAAAGTCACATTTTGTTGCGCTCTTTAACTTTCAGAAAGACACACGGTTGATGTAAGCATCTGAGTATGTTTTAATTGTCTGAATTCACTTCAGAGCAGTATGTATCACCTAACCCGAAAAACGTTGAGATGGCTTCTGAGAGTTGCCTATCGTTTCATGGTTTTATTGAGTTCATTAAGCCAGATGAATTCGCTGCAAACCTTTCTCCATCTCTCTAGACAACCTATTTAACGCCAAATTCAAGATGAATGAGTTTTCGTCGTACTTAATAGTACTGGCCTTGCATAAAAGTAAATTGGAATACATAAATCGTTGAAACGTTGGACAGGAATCGAATGAAGAAATGAGTATTGAAAATGAAGCTTAACGAGGTAAAGGAGTGCTTTGGCAGCCAGGTATCGAACTCCGGACCACCTCCATGGTCAGTGAGAACTCTACCACTGTGCCACCGACGCATGGCTTTGAAACTGCCACTGTGAAAATTTCGCAGACGAAAGAATAATATGTCATATGGGATTACTCTGCGCTCCAGACCAAACGGAATTTGCGCCCCACGATATACAATAGATTGTCGTTTTACCTAGAGATCCTGGATTAGTAGAAAATATTACATAGTAGACTGTGTTGATAATTCTATACATAGTGTAAACATTTCTTCAGGAAGAAGCTTCTATTATTATTCATTATATTATTTTTGTTTATATTTTCTTAAATCATAGGAATTCCGGCCGTCTTGACATCTTCATGGGCAATTGCAAAATTAGTGACATTGGGCAATACACGGTAAGTCACAACTCCTTGTTTTCGCTATAAGGCTTCTAGCGTTAAGCTTTGAATATTCAGTAGCGATAATGTTGTTTTCATGTTTGGAGTTGCTAGTGCTACACCCAACCTCCTCTGTTTTTCTGACACACTACCGACCAGACGATATTTTGAAGATTGCTCTGGCAGAGAACTCAACTCAGTCCATTTGTGTAGCTGGTGGGGTATTCTACCCTTGAAACAACGACCCGACATAAAAGGTGAATTTCGAGACATTTTCTGCTGAAAGCTAGTAAATCGTTGATCAGAAGACACGAGAGGGTGGAAACATTTTCATTGGAAAGAAAGCTGTTGTACACTCTCACAGAATGAGTTGGAAAAAAAGTAACAATAACAGAAGATCACAACAGAATATATTATTATTTATTATTACTCCTTTGGGTTCCATCTGGAACGCATGGCTCCAGAAGCACATTTTCACTCAGTTTTATTTGGTGCTGTCCTATCCATGATTGCCCATGATCTGTCAACTCCTCCTTACACAAACTCCTCCATTTCACCCTCGTACTGACTACCCACTTGTCGCTTCCAATCAACTTCCACTCGAGCAATAACCTGCACTGAGAGCGATGTCAATCGACAGTCTTCTCAACGATCCAACTCTATTTTCTTCCAAATGTTTGTTAAGCACTCGGCTTTTGGTTGTTTTGTTCCACTGAAGAGTTTCGTGTTGCTAATTATTTCTGGCCGGCTGGCCACTTAACCCTCAGCATGAAGCCAGCGAAGGCTGCTGTTGACGAAAGTCTGCAACCTGTTGAAAATTCTTTTTGTGACGCGCAAAGTTACTGATCCACATAAAAGAACTGACTACATTCATATTCTGTCTCTACCAAATATTGCCAATTTTTAATTGAATTCTCGAAGTGGCGTTACAACGTATTATTACTTTTATACAATGTCCAATCTCTGACGGCATCACTTTGATAACGTGCACGGAAGTTATTCAGTTGATTGGTGGCTTACGTAAGAAATTCAGTCACTAAGAAGTGCTTCACAGATGAGCAATGTTCGAAACTAATGCCTCTAAAAATAGACTGCAGAAGTGGCATTTGTCAAGATACATTCTTTCATAAGTTCGTTTCAGCTGTATTCTTGTGACACTGAGGAGAAGTCGGAGCATTGGCGTACTTTCAATTGCCTGGAATAATTCACTTTTCATCAGCTGAACAATCCTAGCGCATTTACTTTCAAGGGTAATTTAGTTCACTTGGTGATTTGCAGATACTGTGAACAACGTATCCCTCTACAATTATGGTCAATAAATACTACAAGCCTCAGTTAGACGAGGAATTAAAAAACAAGTATTGTCATCTGCATGTATACACTGACAAACAGTCAAACAACAGTGTAACGTAAAATCACAGTGTTCAAATGTTTATAAAGAGGGAAAGATACAAGCATCAACAATGATCAACGTCAGAAATGTAATCTAGTAAACTGTACCGTTTTGTAAGGCGGTATAAGTAAGAAAACCTATCAATGATGAAAATTCACTCCTCCATGGTTCCTCAGGTTCCGTTCACTATGGATCACTCTTAATTATTATCTTATCAAAAGGGTCGAGTAATTTACAGGTTTAGAGATTTAATTCAATCGTTTAGGTTGGTTGTTGAAATTGTACATCGACTAACCTCTACTGTGGTCTTTCTCTGAAAACGTCTACTACAGACGATCAGGTGACCAGAAAGAATTGGCGGCAAGAAACTCCAGGAACGAATCAATCAAGAACCTATTGCTCAACGAATATGCAGAAAGAATTGGTGATGGATCGGATACACGCCAAGGCGACCGTTGAGTAAAATCTCACGCCAAGCCGTCACTCGAGTGTGACGCGAATGAGAAACGACGAGCTGAGTGTGAATTTTAAGGTGAAATGGAGGAAATCATGTGAGGAGGAGATGTGGATCTATGGATAATCGTGGGACCAGCTGGAACCGATTGCAGAGAACAGGAAAAAATGAGGATACGCTGCTGAATTCCAAATTCAACGGGATAATAATAATAAATATCATACAGCCGGTTCCCTTTATCATTTTGAATAAAGAAAGAACGAACATATCTGCAGACAGGATAATACGAGCTGGTTTTATTTCGTGGAGTCTCATTCTCTTCAACTGCGCCATATATCCTAAGTAAATCAATTATATGTTACAAAAAATGGTTTCTGAACATGCCCTTTTTTACAAAGGTTTCAAGTTAAAGATAGAAACTATAAGCAACATAATTTCACAGAATAATAATAATAATCACTTTATTCCACAACAATAACAATTTACAGCATGGAATTTTCAGCGTTTCTTTTACATATTGCGATGGTTTATCTCTGTTTATAATTATATAAATGTATAAAATATTAAAATATTGATAGTTAATAGCATAAAACAAAAATACCAACAAAACCACACCAATTGCTAGGTCATAGTGAATAATAAATAAATAGTATAACAAATAACACATGCAATAATGTGCATCATTACATTTTATAATTTAGTTAATGATTTACAAGTTGTAAAAGTTCTTTTCTGATATTTGTCTCTTCACACAATACTCGTGCCAAATATGGTACGGTCGAATTTTTATATTTTGTAGTACGAGCATAAATGTTTATGAAATTTCTTCTGGTCTTACCCGACGAGATACAAGGAAACAATTGTGAATAAAGAGGATGTTCACTATCAGACAAGATAACTGTAGCTAAGTGTTTACAAGAATTCATTTGCCTATTGACAACAGTGTCAGTTAGTTGAGTCAAAGGGATAGCACTGACCCTACTTACAGCCCTCAATGTTCTTCGTAGTATTATATGGTCTTTCTTGAGTAGCCCAGGGAGGAATAATGGAGAACAATAAAGAATGATGGGCAAAACACATGAATTAATAAATTGTATGAGAAGAGATTGGGTTACACCTGAGTGCCTCAACTTCTTTATGTAATAAGTCAGACGGAAAACTTTCTGAGAAACTATAAGAATATGAGACGACCAGCAAAGGTTTGAAGAGAAACTAATGCCAAGATAAGAAACACTTGACTTACTCTCTATCATGTTACCATCAATATTACAACAATCATGAGATTGGATCAATCCATGAATGTCTTTTTCACTTCTCAAGCTGAAATCAACAGTATTACATTTAGTTGGATTTAGTTTAAGACAATTTGAGCCAGACCATTCCTTAACTTCAGCTAAGAAGCCATTCATATGGGAACAATCCGATGTGGAAACTACAGGGACAGAAACGGTCAGATCATCAACATACTTAATGAAGTTAACTTTGGGTGAGTTCGGAAGGTCATGCAAAAAGAAAGAGACAAGAAATGGAGAAAGTACTGCACCTTGAGGCACACCACTTTCAGTCAGCTGAGAAGTGGAGCGCTTTCCAGCCAAAACAGTATGCTGTTTCCTATCCTTAAAATAAGAAGACAGCCATCTAGTTGCCAAGGTCTCTGTTTGTGCTGAAATCATCTTTCCTAATAAAAGTGTCCTAGGAACAGAGTCGAAAGCTACAGTATAGTCTAAAAAAGCTGTTCGAACGAACTTAGCACCCTTATCAAGGCAGGAAACAATATTGTGGTGTAGTACAATGGCTGCATCTAATGTACTTCTTCCACACTTATAAGCAAATTGCTTAGGGTCACTAAAAGCTTTTCAAGAAGGTTTAAGAATATTCGAAAGAAGTTTCTCCATAGTTTTCAAAAAAGGAGATGTTATAGCGACCGGTCTAAACTTTATACCTGCTCCAGAAGATGATTTCTGTACAGATACAACCTTGATTTCTTTCCAGTCAGCAGGTACCGTTTCCTTGTTAAATGATGCATTAAAGATTTGAGTAAGAGGATGACACAAGATGTCTGCACACTTTTGAAGAAGAATGCCTGGTACACCATCTGGACCAAGGCTGTGTGTTGGATTTAAAGATTTCAAACATAATAGTACATCCTTTTCTTTAAAACACGGAAAATGACCATTATCTTGACTAGGTACATCAGGTACAGGCATATTAATTTTTTCATGATAAATAATTTGTTTAAAGCATTAACATCAGAATAAGCATCAACAGACATTTGTTTTTTACTTGTAAGTTTATTGAAAAGTTTCCAAATGTTTGAAGGATTTTTACATGATAAAAATTTTTTATTATATAGTCTGTTCAACCTTCTATTTCAATTTTTATAAGGGTGTTTATTTTACAGACACCTGTATTATCACAATTATTATACAAATTCTCTTTTTGTTTTCTAAGAAGATGTAAGTAGATAATTATTTAGTATTAAAAGAGTAACTATTTATATAGTAATTAGACAAGTGGGAGGGAGTGGAATTTAGATTTCTCTTGAAACAAGGATGTACTAGAGATAAAACACAAGACAGAACAATGTAGTTAATTTATACATAATATGGAGGAGAAATCAGGAGGGTGGTCAGGGGTAATAGTGAAGTAAAACTATAAGATAAGTAAAATAATTAAATTCAGTAGATTTGGTACCTTAATAGTGAGTTCAACAGAGTGAATGAAAATTGAAGTAAAGATTGAGTGGAATGCTATGCACGAAACAGAATAAAAACACAAGAGCACACAAACAAGACAATTATGGTTACCAGGGTAATGGGCGATTAGTCACATTGTCTTTCTGAATCCACAGGGTGGGTAGAAATCTTTTGATGTCAATGGCTTCTGCGAACGGAATTAACCATCCTTTTCTTGGTGTATTGATTATTTTGAAGGCCTGACTAATTTCCGCTGTAAATCCTGTGTCAAGTAGGTGTGGCTGGCAACTGCACTTGAGAAAACTTTGTTGCCTTCCAAACGGAGAATTCTAGGGATATGTTCAGAAAATCTTGTAGACGCTGTCCTCTCAGTTCTGTCCGTGTACTTGCTGCCACAATTGCAGGCGAATTAGTAAATGCAGGTGGAGTTGACAAGAACGGGCTACTTACCTCCTTTTGACTATGTTATCGAGCA